TCATCTTTCCATGAGTACTCAACAGATCTCTCAGTGGGAATGAAATTTAGGTCATGCCACCATTCTGTAGGAGAAAATACATATAGGAACAGGACATTGTGTTTGGATACATGTGTTTTCTGTTGAACTGGGTTGTCTTAGAACTTTTGTCTCAAGTGTTTTGAGCAAATTTAATATTTATTTGACCATGATTAGCTTCAGAATGGTAGTTGTGGAGGAGGAGGCTTGCTCTTATTGGCAGTACACTCTGTCAAATGTGCCTTGGTCCTAATTAGAAAAAACAGATTTTAGCTGCTATAACAGCTACTGGGGATGTTTTGTCATTGATTTCCAATCAGTGTTTTACCTGACATACATTTGTGCTGTATTCCTTTCATCTGTCTGGTGAAAATCTGCCTTTTCTTTTGTTGCTCATCAGAATGGTCTATTAGAGATGTTACTTACATTGGAAAAGCCTCTTGGGTAAGAGCTAACCATACTAGATATGCCTTCTGCACTACTGTGACAGTGAAAATTTGGAAAGAATAATCGTCTGGAGAACACAATTTCAGGATCTATAAATCCAGCATATCACAAGTTACCTTGCGCTTCATTTGTGTCCCTGTGTTGAAATTTTTGTTTTTATTTTTTGCTTTGGCTGTCTTTTTAATACTCAATATACAAACTTAGTAGGGGAGTTAGATGGAATTTGAAAAAATCTGAAGTTCAAATGTCACTATTTTACAAAGAAAATAAATATGCCACTGAACAGCATCTGTGTGAAGTTGGCGTAACAGTGTACATATTCAAGTATTGTATTTCTTGTGAAGAGATGTCTATGAAGGTTGAATCAAAGGGCAGCTTTTTGAGAGGGCTTTGAAACTGTGCATCATGTCCTGCATACAGGACTTTGATCTATTTAGTTTCAAGAACTAAATTTTGGCACAGAATTTGTCCCAAATCCTGGTCTTCAGGAGTCAAGACATTGACTTCCCGAAATGATTTTCACAGCACAAGCCACGTGCAGGAGAATCACTCTTGCAAATGCAGGGTCCTAAACTTTGTGCAACCACAGAAGTGATGACTGTCAGAGAAACACTGTGAGAATGTTGTCAATCTTTTTTTTTCTTTTGGGGCTTCCTGCTGCACACTATGGTTTAGACAATGATTGTGGTAAGAGGCTTTTAAATTGATGTAAAGACCAAGTTGATTTGACATGTTTTTTAATCAAGTGTTTATTAGTTGAAATAATCTTGGATGTTTTTTGGCATCGTTTATGTTTGAGTGGGAAATTGAATCATTGTCAGAGGTCTGTGTATATTTGAGCATGTTAAGCTGAAGTTACCAAATAGAACTGTGGGAGGCTTTTGGCTTGTGCTTAATGAGTATAAACCAAAGCTCCTACCTTGCTGCCTCAAGAGCCACAAAAATGTTAACAGAAGTCAGAGATGCAAGAAAAAATGTATTCCATATAGCCTGTCTACTTGCCAGTACTAGCTTTTTCCTTAGGTTACTTTCCATTATTTTTTTCCATCTAGTTGAAGGTATTACAAGGGATGAGACTTCCTCTGCATTCCTCTGGAAATTATTTTGCAGTTCTCATAAGACTTCGTGATTTTTTCCCCCCCTTATTTATATTTCCTGGTTCTTACATTTCCAGAGCAGAATCCACACCAAAACTGTCAGAGTTTGCTTTCCTGTTAGTTTTGGCAAAATCATTCAGGCTTCCTTCTTGCTCCTGTCTGCTTTTGTTCAATTGAATGAACCAGTGAACATTCACATGTCTCAAGCTAGAAGTCTTTTAGTATAGGTGATACTTTGCTGAGGGCTGCTGTGAACGTTTTAAATCAACCTGCATGGATCAGGTAAAGCAGCTGGAGCTCTCAGAGGTTCTTTTACTGCATTTTCTTTTGTTTCTCTCAGACTGGGTTTTCACACAAAGCCTTTCTAACTGGTTTCCCATGTTCTTCTTGCTTCCACCCCCCTCCCCTTTAACACTAGGGTACTTGTGCATAAGCCTTGCAGTAGGCTTATGGAATGGCCAATTATAGGCTCTTAAAGCTAGCCTAAGATGAAGTCAATGATTCATCAGTAAGCAAAAGCTACAATTAATCATGTAACCTGTAAGATTGGGCAGTTGTTCCCCATTTCATCAAAGATAATTTGTCCCCAAAGAACATGTGGCTTGTATTTGGATTGTTAGGTACCCAAGACAATTTCATTTGAATTGTTGTGTGAATCTTGAATGTGAGCTTTTGCAATTGTTTTAAACTCCAAAATGTTTCTGATCTATTATAATTTAATTAGTTCCTTCTATTTTATCTTTCATTTATGTATAATAAAATTAAATACATATTTACTCTAATTATTGTAATTAAATTCATCAGGAACTGTTGTGATAGAACAAGAAACATTCATTTGAATGTTATTTGCTTCCTAAGCATTTCTTCATTTAATTCATGAGCCGAGTGAAGTTATTGGAAATTGCTTACTTTTTCATTCTTTATGTTTTTATTGGTTTGCTGAGCTAATTTCTAGTGTGTTGACTTGCTTCTCAGCTTTAAACTTGAGCTGCTGTACACAGCAAGGTGCACAGTGGCAGCTGCTTCTTGGAAAGTTGCCATTTGGAAGGCAGCATGGAGGTTGTCCTGCAGACCTGCACACACACGTATAAAATACATTACATGTGGGTACGCCCTGCCTCAGGTGGGAACAGAAGCTGCCAGAGGCATACAGAGACTTTTGTAACACTGAATCAGTTTTGTGAAAGATTTGGTTTTAAATCTTTTTCTCCCCTGAGCTGAGTTTGTAAATGCTGTCTTAGATCTGTTGTAAATTCTGAAGTGTTTCACAGTCTGATAAGAGATGAGCTAAGTCACTTGCTGCCAAAACCCTGCAAAGTGTGACCAGTATGGAGCCTAGGGAGGAATGCTGATCTTTTAAAACTATGCCAGCCTTAATATTGTAACTAAATTATGATTTAAACCACAAAGTCATCACAGTATTCTTGGAAGAAGATGCAAACTAGGATCACTGTGCATGAAGGGGGGAGATGTGTGCAACACCTGTAAACACAGTGAAAAAGGAAACTAAGATGCTTTGGATATCTCTCTTGTCAGGATATTTGTGCTGCATGATCACAGTCTCTCACCAATGTTATAGCTGAGCATTTTAACACATACTCTGCACTCCTAGTTGCTGTTCCCTCAGAGCCTTTTCTGGTGCCTGAGTTGGAGAGATTGTGGTGTGGTGTAAAGCTGTTCTCATCTCCTCCACAGCTCTTACACAACGTGTGGAAAAGCAACAAAGCAGAGAAACTTGGGTTTGGTGAGATGACAAATTTGGATCATCTTAAAGCTGCTCCAAGGGAAGCCCTGGCCAGTGCAGTTCAGGAAACTGATAGTCAGTAAATTTACTTGAGTGGAGGAGGAGGAGTGGAACTTAAAAATAATTAAACACATCAACTTTTATACAAGTAAAGCTTGTATGCCAGATACCATACTGTATCTTGGAGGCTCTGTCTGCCCTCCCACAGCCAGTGTAACATGGGTGCAGATTTTGGCTACATTTGTGGAAATATGGGCATGATTAGTACATTTCAAATAAATTTTTGCTACTGAGAGATTAATTCATGCACTGAGCTCATGCTAGTGATTGTGTGAATGCTGCTTCCTATACAAATTTAAAAGGTTTCTGACAGTCAGCCTGACCTGAGACAGCTAGTTTTAAAACATCAGGAAGTTTTGTGACAGTATTGGGCATGGAAGTTTGTTGTGTAACCCTATAACTAAGTTCTGTGCAAATTCAGAGTACTCTTTGCTGCTTATACAATTTCAGTGCAGCTTTATTGGTGCTACCGAGCAAATGGACTGGTGTATTTGTTGAGAGTCAGCCAAGTGGCTCTCTGTGGGAGAATGCTGATAAACCCGACTATTTTAAACCTGGGTGTCTCTCTGCTGTTTTTCAAACACAGTATGTCTCTTCCTTCTGTATATGTCATGTTGTCTTGCCTCCCCATCCCTGGCTGCTGCAAAGGTGGTAACACTTCTGAAGTTCTCATCCCTCCTCACGATCTTGCTCATTTTTGCTCACCTGAAAAGCTCAGTCTTTTACTTCTCTCTATTAAACCCTTTGAGATTATTCAGAACCCTGAAAAGTCATTATTCCAGTGTTCCTGCAAGACTTCAATGTCTCTTTTGGTGAGGCAGTTAAGGAGTTAAAAGCTTGCGGAGTTTCAAAGAAATGCCGGCCAGCTGCTGTAAAGTATTGCTACACAAATCCTAGCTGACCTCATTCTTGTCAGACAACAGTGATAATATCCAAAAACGGGTGCAAGGCAGGAAGTGTTTCAGGAAGGTGTGTGTTTCATGCAAAGACATCAGAAATATGCTTTCTCCCGGGGCCACTTACCATAAGATCCATATTAATTTAAATGAAACAGTGAAATTCCAGGCTATGTTTGCAGAAACATCATTTCAGTCCAGAAAAAACATTGCTTGTTGCTCTAATGTACAAATGGCAAAAGCAATTGTGCTTTATGCTGTATATATTTAATATAATGATATTGCTGGCTGTATGAACCTGCTTGTTAAACATATGGGGGCTTCACATAATTGTTGATAGTTTTGTTTCCTATATTAAGGGGTATCTTTGACTTGAAAAAGTGGTAAAGGAGGAATACAAGTCTGCTTACATTTTCTCATTTACTTTATGCTCAAAGACTGATTTGATACCTAATGTGCTTTTCACTAATTTAAGCAACTGAATTCCTTAATAAGCAGAACAAAATCTCATTTTCCTCCCAATGCATTCTCTGACTTATAATTTAAAAGAATTAGCTTTTGAACAATTCAACATTTTTCACCAGTCAATCTATCAAGTTATCTGTAAAAAGTGTCCTGTATATACAGGTTCTTATTATTTTTATTTTACTGAAAAGTTCAGACATAAGAAAGATTGTATTTTTTTTATATTTTTCAGAAGTACCCACGTAAAAGCATGCAAATAAAAAGAATTCCTACCAGTTCAGAGCTCTTCTGCTGATAGTTAGGGATATTTTCCCTAAATTTCCTCTAAGTTGTCTCCACAATTGTGGCTCTTATAGTATGAATCTGCAGTAAAAATCAAATGTAAATTATTATTTTTTAGCAACCATAAGTAAATACTGCTTGAGAGATTTTTTCTTTAGATTGCAGAGGTTTCTTATCTCAGCATTAGTTTAATAAATTTTTACAAAATAATTTATTAAGAGTTAGACTTGGTCCTGTAAAAACTCTATCATTTAAAATGTTGCACATGAATAATATGATTAACTGAAATGAAGTCTAGCAGATGCTTGTAGGAATATTAAAATAATAATAAATATTAAAATAAAGCATTGCTATTTAGCCTCTGCTCTTTGTTTCATTTAAAAACTTGTTATTCTGTACTTTTTTCCTATATTCTTTTATAGTTTAAAAAAAATATTAATTTATGTTGGTAGGGAGTGAACAGTTATAGCTGCTGGAACTCGTGTAGTAATTTCCTCTTTGGAAATTCTCCTGTTTGTGAGGCTGGGTCACTGACCTTGAAGGGCCCTCTGAAAAGTGTAACTCATGACCAGGGATCATGGGGATGCTGACTGGTATAATAGCAGAGATTGGGCTTTTTTATAGAGATGTGACCCAGGACCTCAGGTGAGGTGCATGAGGAGATAAAGGCAGGCTGGTGGATGGAAGTCCTGGGGGCAACCAAACTCAGGCCTGCTACATGCTGAGGAATGAAACAAGTATAATCTGTGTTTTTAGAAAATGATTCAAGGATGTAACAGAAAAGAAAGGGAAGGAAAACGGGATTATTTAGTTACATGAAGACATATTTTTTGTTGTTTGCCTGGTATCAGCTCATTTGATATACACACGCAGTTGTTTCAAGCTGAATTATATTTTAGATTTGTCTGCTGTTCCTGGAAGTTATTGCCAAGAGTGAAAAACCACACAATGCATTTCTAGTATTAAACCATCTAGTCCTGATGGGTAATGACAGAGTAGAGGGAGAAGGCACCAGTTAGTCTGGGTTAGCTCATGTGCTCTGGATAACTCTTTCTTGAACACTTAGATTCCTGAAGTTCTACTAGGCTATGTTGCTTTCCCATTGCTTTCTGGATGTGATGAAATGTCTCCATGTCAGTGTCAGGTAATCTCAAGTATTCCCATGACTGCCTGCCTCAAACTTTCTCAGGTAATCACTGCCTTTTGATCACTTTTCTATTGGCTATTTTAATAAGATAACAAATACCAGAAAGGCTGCAATAACACCTTTTAACAAAAGAAACATGCTTGAGTTTTTTAAATTACGGATGCCCGGCTTTGTCACTTACATTTTATTTATTTTTGGAAATGCTAGAGGCACAAAATTTTGCATCTGTAGTGGCTTTCTTGTTTAAATTCTGAATTTTTAATAGTGAAGTGGGGAATTCATTCTCAAAGTCAAAAGGGAGAAAGTTTTTGTAATTACCAAACAGTTACAGATTCAGACACAGGAGGGAGATAAAACCAGAATCCTGTTTTAATTCTTTGTTAAAAGAAAAAAATTTTTGTGAGATGCGGTATAAATATTCACTTTACAAAATTATCTAGCAATGAAAAATATGAGAAATTATGTTAGTCCATCAGCCTGTCTCCTTGGCTTTTCAAGGAGATCTACCACAAGGAACTTAAATAACGTGCTTTCTTGTAACAGTGATGTAAAATATATGATATTTAAAATTTTGTTTGTTTGTTTTGTATTTTTCTTCAAAGTGTATTGGGTTGGTTTTGACCAGTAAATGTGGATTTTATTTCTGTTCAGTCTGTAATTACAGCCAGTTCTGTGACTGTCCCTTTTTGATCTCAGTGTATTCTCGTTACTAATTATTTATTAAAAGAAAAAAAAAAAATTGTGAGATGCGGTATAAATATTTACTTTACAAAATTATCTAGCAATGCAAAATATGAGAAATTATGTTAGTCCATCAGCCTGTCTCCTTGGCTTTTCAAGGAGATCTACCACAAGGAACTTAAATAACGTGCTTTCTTGTAACAGTGATGTAAAATATATGATATTTAAAATCTTGTTTGTTTGTTTTGTATTTTTCTGCAAAGTGTATTGGATTGGTTTTGACCTGAAAATTTGGATTTTGTTTCAGTTCAGTCCATGATTCCAGCCAGTTCTGTGACTGTCTCTTTTTGATCTCAGTGTATTCTCATCTTTCTGCTTCTTCATCTTTAGACATGCGTCTGAAGCATTTACCTCTTCATCAAATGTATAAAAGAATTTGGCACTTGTCTTGGTATTCTGAAAGAAACTAAAACCAGGCTGTTGTGGTTGTCCTCATCAAAGGCTCTTCTATGGTATACACAGAACATCAAGGAATATATTTTCTTACTGCTTAGAAAGCTCTGTTTAAAAATCTGCAGATTTGTTGGTGAAAAGGGTAGGTGAATTTATTTGGTGGGTTTTTTTAAAAAATCCAGGGTACTGAGTTTTTTTGTTAAATTAATGTTTTAACCTTTGTGCTACTGAGCTTTTAAAGTTGGATAATTGAAATAAGGCCTGGCATAGATGAGTTAAAGATGTCAATTTTGTGAGTAGTTACCTGTGAAACGTAGAAATGCTCAAAATCACAACACCCTGCTCTCTCTTGTGTACTTGGAATGACACCTACATATGAATTAATAACCAAAAGGAAATATTAAAGTATTCATAGGGTGCATGAAAGTCCCGATAGTGGCAAGGGTAGGTAGTGTTTCCAAAGAGCAAGGCTGTAGTTTAGGGTGCTTAGACATGCCTTCCTTGAACGAATGGGATAAAATACCTAAATCACTGCACTGTTGTCACCTCTCTCAACACTTACAGCCTATTTATGTACTTTTGGAGTAGTAGGTGCAAACCCTCTTGACCATTTTCTTACAGAATTCTGAGAGTGACTCCAAGAAAACCATTTGCATTGCACCTGTGGCTGTTTGGTAGGAGTTGTGTGTGCTCTGCTTTGACTCTCTGCCCTGCTTTCACAGGGTACCATTTGGCTCTTCTGAGCCTCTTTCTGCTCTGCTAAAGGGGGTAGTGATGCTGCCCTGTTTTGGTAAGGCATCCTTCTGATCAAGAGGTGAAAGACCAGATAGAGCCTTCTTTTTACCAATCCCAAGAGAGCTTGAATACAAACTGCATGAAGGCCTGCAGTCTCTGAAGGAGATTTAAAGAAATCCTGCTGGGATTTGATTGTGTGTCTGAGTCATTTGAGCTTGTTTTTTGACCCATTAATAAGCCCTTGTCACACTACTGCTGTTGCCTTTTGTTACAGTCATTACATTCCTCTGGAGTCTCTGTAGCCATTGTCTGCTTTGTTTCTTTGGTTTTGTTTTTCTTCACCAGGGAATGATTTTTAAGTTGGCAGGAGGCATAAAATTCGGTTCCCACCACCAGAAAACTCAGTGTGTTTGCAAGGGGTATGTAATAGCCATGCAAGCTCCACTGCATGCTCCCTTTGGCACAGAGCAGCTCCCATCTCACTTCAGTAGGTGTGCAGCCTTAGTGGGCTGTGAGTGCTCCTCCTCCTTGCCATCCTGCAGCTCATATTGGCAAAGGAAGCAGTGCCACAGAGGAAGGTATAGGAGAATCCTCTAAGGATCCAGATATGTGCTCTGGGATATTCAACACTGCAGAAAGCTCTTCCCTTGTGTGTGTGTATGGAGGCACACACAGGCTCTCCCCATAGGACAGATACCTAACGTGTTTGAAAGAGTCTCTGTGGGTTTTGGCTTTCTTTTGAGTGTGTGTGGGCCATTTAGAGCAGACAGCTTTCTCAGAGGGGACAAAGGTCAGTTTAAAATTTTTAGGTGTACTATGTAATGCAATCTGCTGCTGGCAGATTTGGAAGATACCCGTGAAATCTTTGTCAAGAAACAGGCTTTTTGTTTCCAAGAGAAAGTTTTGGATGCAGAGTGGGATGAGGAGTATTTGCTAGATATGTCTGAAATATGTTTGTTTTGAAAGCCACTATTGAATTAGGTGTAAACTGTGAGCCTGGTTTATATTCCTCAGGGCAGGGGAAGATGGAATCCGTTGTTTATCTGAGTGCAGGTTTTCCCCAGGGTGCTTATATACACTACAGAATATTCATTAAGCTCTTGGCATTGTATCTCTAAATCTTTTCTTTGATTTCAGGTCTTAAATTAAAAAAGACAAGCCAGATATTCCCACTCCTCCCAAAATAAACCTAAGTTGTGAAACTGTCCTTAGCACTTTTGCTGAATGAAGCACAAACACCTACTGTTTTCTGGCAAACCCTATTTATCCATGTAGACACTCTTGTGAGAGTTGTTTCACTGTGTCCACATAGTCTTTACCTGATCTACAGAAAGACTGATGACAAAGGGAATATTTGTAAGGCAGATTACTGCCTGTTTAAGATTTGGGGTTATCTGTGTTTTCCAGCACATGACATTGAAAAACTACCAGGGACAAAAGAATTTTTTGCTTCTCTCAAGTTACTGTTGGCTTTAAAGTGAGAAGCCAGGAAAGGGACTTGCCATTTACATAAGTTTAGAAAGCCTTCAAAGCACCTCTTTTAAAATTTTCTTAAGAGATGCAGGGCTACTGTAATGGCATGATGGAGAAGCTTTCCAAACTGGTTTGAGAAGATGAGTGCGTTTTCTTTGTTATTTTTCATTCCACTAATATTGTGATTATTGTGCTACCATTTTAGCTGTACAGTTGGTCATATTTTGTACAGTACTTTTAATATTATGAAAAGGATGCCATTAATAATGAATAGGAACAAAAATGGTTAGCTGGTTTTAACTGAGGTGACACATTTTGGCTGTTTCAGCTCAGCTCTTACAGAGGGTCAAAGACAAAGGAGATTTCAATTTCTAGAGATTTGCTTTAAGATGGAAGGTAGATCTGCAACCCTGTGGTTCAAAGTCATGAAGGTAGAAATTCATTTGGCAGTTCACAGAATTGTTGCTAAGATGAAATGAGAGGAAAGTGAGGGGAAAAGGAGTGTTCAATCAGAAGGAGGTAGCAAGAAAATAGACAGTCTACTTAGGAAGACTTAGAAACAGATGAAGCCATGAAAAACTGAACAAAATAC